TGAGAATATCTTGAGTATAATGTGGATTTCTTGTACTTGCAGTAACCTGTTATAATCATTGTAGTACAAATAAGAGAATTTTTTTGAAAAAGACCTTTTTTGACAAATAATTAGCAAATCAGACCTTTTTGCTAAATAATTAACAAAATTGACATCTTTTTGACCATGTCATCAATGGTAGCCAAAAGAGGTCAATTTTGTAAAAAATTATTTTAAAATATACGGTACTAGTAGTCTAGTGTAATTAACAATTGTTAATTATGAGGTTGATTGAGCTTAGAATATACACGGGCCTACGAGTCCCATGTATTCTGCATACACAACCAGAAAATATAGAGGACTAGTAGTCTTATGTGCATTGAAGTTATAACTCAATTAGTAGTCTGACTAGCTTTTCACATGTCCATGAATGACTAAGCATAGTAGACTTCATAGTTATCGAGGCGCAAGGCGCAATGCAGGGCGCAAAGGTCCTTTACGCGCACCATGCGTAAGGCGCACAACGAGACGCGCGCCTCACTAATTGAGGCGCATAACTCAAACTAATATTTGCCAACATCATAAGACAGAAACATATAAGCAACATATTAGTTACCTACATCCAAAATTATGAGAATATCAACTTAAATCATCAAATTATGCTAACTGAATTTTTAAAGTAACAAAAAGATACAAAAAACATGTATTTAAATCATCAAATTAAGTGATTAACAATTATGAGCATATGTTTATAAATTGTCACATAAAAAGACTAAGAAATATAATTAGCAAACATGACTGTTCATAATTTTCTAGTTAGTATTCTTAATTGATATTTGCTACTTAGCATGAAAAGATAAAGAATGAATGTAACAATTACATATTTGCTAGTTAGCATGCTAATTAGAGAAGGAAGTTACAATTAGCAAACAAGTATACTAAATTACTAATTATTGCTTCCTTTTTATAGGTTAAACATGAAAAGATGAAAATAGATTAGCAACTAGTAAGAAAGAGTATATTACATGATATAAATATGTAATTATGTAAATTATTTTTAAAAAAATAAAAGAAAGAGTATATTACATAACGCAGGTGTGAGGCGCGCGCGAGGCGCATGCGAGGCGCGAGCGAGGCGCACGTGAGGCGCACACGAGGTGCGCGCCTCGTTGCGTGCAGCGCCCCGCCTCGCGTGCGGGGCGCATTTCCCCTAGGCCGAAGCGCCCGACGCTCGGGACGTGCCCAGGGCGCGCGCCTCAATAAGCTTGGTAGACTTCTAAATTAAATATCTAGAATCAAACAAACACGCAACACACACACACATAGGATCAACACAAAATAAGAGTGCTCTCGATTGTCTCGTGGTGGGAGTCTTTGAATGAATGAGGCTGGCTTCACTTTTTATGTTAAGTCACCGCTGCTGCTGCTGCTGCTAGTTCA